AGACATGGAAGTTAAAACCCATTACTCCGACTTCAAGACTGGTGAAACTGGCCTGCTAGATGTTTAAAACCAAAAACTTGGAGACCAAAGTCAAGGAAGTAAAAGGGCCAAGTGAAATGCAGCCAACATTTTGGCCCTTGCCCTCCAAGGTCAGCTGTGACCCAGAGAATAATAGGACTCCTTTCTGTGTCCTGCAACTCTGGTGAGACACACAGTCTGCTGATCAGGAAGAGCAAGAGAATCCTAGGGAACAGGTAGCCAACAAGTGCACATTCTGCAAAAAGGAGAGTTATTAGAGAAAGAAATATCCCTGATTCTTCCAAGAGAAGCCACATATGGTCAGCTAGACTCTGGCCTATCCTAGCAGATGGCACCACTGGTAGAGGAAAGCTAAAGGAGCTAAGAGACTTTGCACACATTCCCTATAGTGATCTCTGAAGAATCCCGGCTAACTCTAAATAGTAGGTAGTAACAAGGTCAGTTTTGACCAACTTGGTCTTAAATACCTGGCAGGAAAGTATAGCCAAAGCATGGTCCTACCTGGACATTTAAAAGGAAAAACAATGTTGTTGTTTTTTTTTTTAATGTAACTTAAGATATATACTTGTGTAAGCCCTACCAAAAGTAAGTAAGGCTGGAGGCATTAAAGGAAAGGTTCTTGTGTGGGACTGCCTAATAATAATGATCACAAAGGACTCTAGAGTCACAGGTTTGACCTGAGGCAATTTGATTTCATAGACTTCAAATCTCCCTAACCTTCATAGATAAACACGATCTGTTTTTCACTGGTATAGTATTAGTTACTCCCTTCATGGTTTTTAGAGACTGGCTAAAATAGTAATTGCTTTTGTGCTAGTTATTAACAAAAACGTAATGCTTTGCTGACTTGCTTATTGTTGTCTTAGCATGATCCCTGACCTACGTATGCCTTATCCAGTTACCTGCCATCTACCACGATAGACCTTTGGACTGTGCTGATATTGAATACCTTTAACTGTCCATGCCCCACCTGATGCAGAACAAGAACTTCCCCAACTTCACCCTCTTTCAGCAGAAAGCAGCTTGAAGATATTGTTGCCCATTTTTTCCACAGAAATGAAGTGTAGAAATTGATAATGGTCAAATGTAACAGTGGTCCACATTATGCTTTGAATACAGTCCTTGATGCTCTGTCACTGAGAGTTATTTTTAAAATGAACATGTTTCTTTTCTTCCTCTCTCCCTGCTCCTGCTTAATCTCTCTCCCTCCCTCATCTCAGGGGAAACAGGATTACCTTTCTACCCCATCCTAGGCAGAGTTACCTGTCCTTGAGCACACACCCACCACAGAAACAAAGAAATTCAGGTTTTGGGGATGGCCCCAGAAGATCTCAGAAATGACTATCTCCCAAGTCATCAAGTGAATTAACAACTCCAAACAGAGAACCTGTGGAATGTAGACTTTGAATCTCCTCTTTAAAAGCCCCCTGCTCCCCCTTACTGGGCAGAATCACAGCCTCTGTGAAAAGAGTCCCCTGGGTTTCTCCTCTGCTAGCAAAGCAGTAAGACTTCTTTTTCTTAAGGGAAGAGAAAAATATATTATGAACTGCTTTATATCAATATATTTGAAAGCTTATATAAACTAAAATCTTAGCAAAATCCAATTAATTAAAACTGACATAAGAAAAAGATAACAAATATTTCTATAGTAAAATTCATAATTAAAAATCTTCCAACTAAGAAAATTCAAAACTCATATGCCTTCACTCATAACTCTTGTAAATTTTTAAGAAGGAATTAGCATCAATCCTACCTAAACTCTTCAAAAGAATAAACAAAGAGAAAAAAACCTCCTAACACCACTGTGAGGCAAATATAATATTAATATTGTAATCTTAATTTTGAACTTGGCAAAAAAATACATGACAAGCCAGTAAAGAATACTGGTGCAAAATCCTATACAAAATATTAACAAAAGAGTCCAAATATTATTAACTTGAAAGATGATTACACCAAAATGTGGTCACTTTTTAATTAATTGGACTATAAATTAGTACTTATAGGTATATTACAAATACTAATTTATGGTACTAATTTATATATACTTATGATTCATAAACTTTTCTGGATTATATGCTATACTTCAGTAGAAAGTTAAATATAAGAGAAAAATTCATTGTCTAAATTGTCAGTCTTCACTTCATCCCTTTACCTATTCAGGATGCAATTGCAATCACAATTTTAATACGTTTTTCTCTTTTTCTGGTTCTTAACACAGTCAAGACATATATCTGCCAATTCAGCTTTGCAGAATGCCAACTAGAAGAGTGAAAGAGACATAAGCAGAGATAACTTGCCTAATTTTAAACAAATAACTGAGGTTTATATATATAGCAGGGGGAAAAAAATCAGTAACAAATTCTGTGTTCAGAAGAGAAAATTCCAATCAATTTGCAAACTGGTTTTAATTTTAACCTAGATGTTCAAGAAGACTAACATATGCATAAAAGTGGAAAACTAAGACTCTACTGATCACTCTGAAAATTACAGTAGTTCTAGGCTTTATTCAAAATGTGGTGTTTCTTTTTATTAAGAAAAAGATATTTCTATTTTTTTAGTTCAAATCATTGTGTTAATATAAGATAGTATTTTCACCAAATATTGATTGGATGCCACATGTGAATTGACAGAATAGTATCCAATGCTATAAGGAACACAAAACAATGTAGTTCCTACCCCTCAATCGTGCTATTTTATAAGGAGGAGAAAATATTTTCATTTTTTAAAAAAATAAGAGAATAATTGTTGTAACAAAGGACTTTCTTACTCATCTTTGAGTCCCTCCAAGTTATTAGCTTCTGTGATTTTCACACTATGTTAGTAGACTAATAAATGTTTACTGAATGAGTTGCATGAAATTTGTGTGCGGTGGCCAACTAAGGAATATGTCATCATTCTCTAAGCAATAGAGTCAAGGAATCTAATGCATATATTACTATTTTTCTTCACTCTATCATAAGTGCTTCTTTCCATTACAATAATTACAAATAAGAAATTTTTACCAGTGTTTACATCTTCACAATTTCACGTTCAATTGGTAGCTTGGAGTCAACCATAATAGGAATATTTATGACATGAAAATCAACTACAGCAACAAATAGGGTTTTCCCTTACAAACGTCACCCACTTCAGATAGATGTTTATTAAATATTTGCCAGCATACCATAGCTTGCATCACTTATCCTTGTCTCATGTTTCTGAACAATCCTTTGCAATTTGGCTGTTATATGTGCTGTGATTAAAATAAAAATCCCTGCTTTCCATTTATATTTTTAAGAGTTTTATTGATATATAATTTCCTTGCTATATCATTCACCTATTCAATTGCACAGTTCAGTTCAACCTCCACTCCTAATTTCAGAATGTTTTTATCACAGCAAGAAGAAATCTGTACCCATTTCACTCCAATGTCCCATCACTCCAACCATAGGTAACCACTAATCTATTTCTTCAGATGTCTCTAGTCTGGATATTTAGTACAAATTGTACCATATGTGGCCATTTGCGACTGGCTTCTCTCACTTGGCATAATACTTTTGAAGTTTACCATGTTTTAGGTGCTATCAATACTTTATACACTGTTGGTGGAATTCTAAACTGGCAAATGCAATGTAGAAAACAGTTTGGCAGTTCCTCAAAATGTTAATTAGAGTCATTGTTTTAGTCAGCTTTTTTGCTGCTGTGACTAACAGATCTGACCAGAACAATTTTAAAGGAGGAAAAGTTTTATTTGAGGGCTCACAATTTCAGAGGTCTTAGTCCATAGAAGGTTGGCTCCATTCCTCAGGGCTCCAGGTGAG